CGAGGAAAGGGAGGGGACAGAAGGTGACAAAAACGGGTCGGGTTGCGCTCCTCGCCGCTCCCCCTCTTTACAGCCGCGCTCGAAGCACAAGGCGACCCCCTGCAGCCAGTTCAGCAGAAGCCAGCACTGCACGTGCGTGATGAGAGGAGTCCGGTTCCGCACACCGCGCACGGCGAAGCATGCGATCACGGCCACAGAAAACGCCGAGATCGCCACGGTCGCCATCCTGAATTTGTACGTGTTCCCCAGGGCGACCCAGTGCGGATTGCCTCGGAGAAGATATGAACCACCGACGGTTGCACTGCACGTGTTCGCACCATCCAAGTCCTGAAGACCAGAGAAATCTGCATACCCGTGCCACCCATAACCCATAACGGCTATCGGGGCAGAGAGCGGAAGCACGGCAAGGCCAAGCACAACACCTCGCACAGTGAATACCACGAGTTTGCCAGGCAGTTTGCGCTGAGCGGCGATCCTCGTATCGGAGCGCGCTGTGGACACGTTGTTGACTACCCATGGTGCCACGTGCCCTGCTTCGCTAGAAACATCTGATGGCGACGACGACGTCGTTGTTGTCCACGGCGACGGCTGGCATAAGGAGCCCACCGAGGAACCACTCAGATCTACATCAGACTGTAAATCGTTCGAGGGCATGGCGGGCAACATGCACCTGAGTCTTGAACACGACGGGTGCGCATACGGGCATTTTGAAAGCGATGACAATGAGGTCAACGACATTGACTTTTATGCCGACTGCTGCTCTACACAAGTGACGCGTACTAGCAACGAAAAACAGGGAGGGACACAATGAGAGTGGCATCGGCCGAGGAAACAAGAGAATACAGGTGCGGATGGAAGTGGGAAGGACCTCCAAGAGGCCCGCAAGAGGGCCCCGAGAGGCCTCACAGACGCAAGAGGGCCCGAAAGACCTCCAAGGTGACCCTAAAGCGCCTAGAAAGGGGTCCACGACTGCCCAGAGAGGGCCCCTGGACGGCCACCCAAAGGCCAGGCGGTCCCCCAGAGGCCACCACGAAGCCCCCAAGAGGTCCCGGGAGGCTCACTCGTGGCCCCAGGAGGCCCTTAAGAGGCCCCTCATAGACCCCCAAGAGGTTGTTAGGAAGACCCTAGCAGGCCCCAAAGAAGCCTCAAGAGGCATCATCGTCCTACTCCTACTCCTTCCCATTCTCCTTATCCTTTCTCCTGTTTCATTATCTTCCTTTCCAACAACTAGGGGAACACATAGGCCGATAGCTTGGACAGATTTCGGCCTAGCATTCAGCCGCATGTGCGTTTCCAACAGGCAGGGGGCGACAGTGATTCGCCGCAAGCGTCTTCAATAAATGTTATACGGTGTTCTGTCTGTGCCCCAACCTCGAATAACTCAAGACTTTCCAGGAAACTCGTCGACCTGCCTTCGTTTCTTCCTCAGCTCCATGGGGCATCTTCAGGGTCGCCAAACCAAGCGTAAGGTATCTCCTGTCTCAGTTGGATGCAAAGAGGAAGTACTGAGCATAACGCACACACATAGGTACTAGACCTTCGCAACAATCATGTTAAGCACAAAACAAAATATATCAAACGAATAATTGTCCTGCGTATCGCATGTGACGATCATATACCTGGTTGGATCCCCTCATGGAAATATCAGGCATACATTTCGTTCTATCACACATCTGAGAGACCGCGCTAGTGTGAAGAGCACGCGCCACGAATCGTCCGTCACCTGGAACAGACGATCTAACTTGTATATCATGTGTAGATATGTCACGCTGCATCATCAAAGCCCGAAGTGGAGTGACCACAAGCCTCTTCGAGCTTCCCTAATTATGTTGAACAATTGTGTAAGTATCACTTCAGGGGTACACTGTCGGGAATTCTGGGCACCGTTAGCGATCTCGCGGCTCGTTCGCGTGACTTTGTCAGACACCAGGCAAGATTAGCTCAGGACATGCATGTTCAACGCGGCTTCAGATGGCCTCCGGCTCGGCTGTCCTTGAGCCCTGTTAGGTGCCCCGTGGGACGGCCGGGAGGGCCTGGAGGCTGGCTCAAGAGGGAAATAACAATCAACACCCCATCAGTGTTAGGTCGGGCCGGGCATGTCCCCCTACAAGCGTAGTTTGCACGAAAAATCAAAATAGTAAAAACATACCCCAAATGAACAAAAATAGACAAACACCGTCCCCTGATTGTTTTGGGACTCTTTTTGAACATTCCTCCTGTAGAGGGAAACGCCTGGCTTAACATCAGTGTATGCTTGCTTTGAACTTGACCGCTTTCTCGATGTTCAAAACATCCAAGATGGTCCAGGAGCCCACCGAAAATCGCCCGAAGGCGGTTCCAGAGCCCCCAGGGAGGCCAAGAGGCGCTCATGACGACCCCGAGAGGTGCCCAACATGGGGGGCGCGATAGCGCTGCCGAGAACGGAGACGGAACAATACCGCCGCATGACGCTGCCTCGCGAGGCCCGCTTAAGTTTTATGCCTCCCATGATGAAACTGCGAGCGGCTGCTGAAGACCTCCTTGTGACTGTCCACTGCGCAACCGCCAACGCCAACTGCAAATGATGGGCCTGTTCCCCACCACCACCACCACCATAAGTAGGAGGGGGAGGGGTTCCTCCTCCTCCTCCTCTTCTTCTTCCTCTTCCTCGTCCTCCACCTCCTTCCCCCCTCCAACCTATAGTGGTGATGTTGGAAAACAGGCCCATCAGCAAACTGTACATCTGGCGGCGTACCACAGCGCGCAGAGATCTTCAACCTTCGAGCATGCTGCAGCTCCGGCTCTGTACAACCACTGGGCCCAGCAGCTGTCTGCAATGTTTGGCCGCGCGCACAAGGGGATGGTGGGAGGGGGGAGGGCTTCTCAGAAAAAGGCTGCTCCTTAGAAGGCGCCGGCCTTACATCTATAGATGAGGCCCGCGCCTTCCAAGAAACAGAGGTGCTTCTGAAAAGCCCTCCCCCCTCACCCCACGGCTGAAATTCAGCGGCCGCCCCATTTCAGGTCTCTGGCACGGCGAACGGTGCGCTGCCTCTGCCTCCTGAGCATGTTCCGCTTCATGGCGACCTCGTGGCGGGTAGCGCGGGCCTGGCTGGTATCCTCGGGAGGGGAACCGAGATTCGGATTGCCGTCCGGTGGAATAAGGTCGTCAACCGGCTCTGCTGGCTCGGCTGCCGCGGCCTCTGCGCAAGGTGCCGCGGCACTTTTCCTCCAGCGCGGTTGGTACAATCTCTCCGGTACGTGGTCGACTCGGAAGAGCGGTGCGACACAGGACGGGTTGAAGACGACCATGGCGTCCCCGACGTGCGTGATCTCGGACGTGCGCCTGTGGACCTCACGACCGCCCAGAAGAGCAGGCCGCCAAAACATGCCGCCCGCTGGCTGGGGCACGCCGGCACCCTTCACCGGTGCGCCGTTCGACCGCAGCCGCACGCAAACCGACGGGCTCCGTGGCGGCCGGCCGATCCGGAGAGCCGTGCGAGCCGCCCGGGCCTCGGAGTCTCGGCCGTCCTCGGGGGCACAGAGAGTTGCCGATGTCGCTGCTCTCGGGTCGGGCATGTCCCGCTAGATGCCGATCTTCGACGAGAGATGAAAAGTGCTCAAATGATCAAAACTGGTCAAACAGAGACTCAAAAATCGGTATCATATCATTTTGGGACTATTTTTGAATATTCCCCCTGTAGAGGGACAGGCCCGACTCAACGCTACTCCCTGGACCTCCTGGGGTGCGTTCTGACCAGAAGTTCGAGGCGAATCAAGCCGTGGCGACGAGGGCCTCCCAGGAGGCCCAAGAAGGGGGAAGCGGGCGAAGGGCAGAGGTATGGGTGCCTTTTCCTCCACGGAGTCCTCCACGACGCCCGCGTCGTCGATGACAGCACAGACCAGCATACTCGCTGAATCGCAGAACCTGAAGGGGGCCAGGGACACACAAACAAATACACACAAGTCCCAGGATTCCCTCTTTTCCAATTTGTTGGGGGAGTTTCGTCCTCCCCCCAACTTCTCATATGTTCCCATATGTTCCTGAGTATCGTTTAACCGATCCCCATCCCCAGCGGCGTGGCCTGGGCCTCACTGGTCGATTTACCTCCATAGATGGGGATATAGGACGTTCCCTCCGGGTTTCGAGGGGTGTATCCCCAACTTGGGTGGTAATTTGGTGGGGGTCTCAAGGGGATGGGGATGGGGATGGGGATTGGTTAAACGATACCGAGTTCCTGGGAATCGTGGATGAATTGCGTCTGTGTGGTTTTCCCCCTCCTGAGAGCCCGCGGGACAACTGCGCCGCGCCCTCCCTCGCTGTATAGATGCCCGGGCCGTGGGCGTTCCCATGCGCCACGGGGACCCGGTGCCTGCCCCAGCCGGGCAGCAGGAACCCCCGCCTCGGAGACCGCCCAGGTGCGGCCAGAGCTGAGCAAATGTTCCACCACCACTACCAGATGCAGGACGGGGGAGAAGGGAGGATGAGGAGGCCCTCCTCCTCCTCCTCCTCCTTCTCCTCCTCCCTCTCCTACGCATGGTGGCGGTGGTGGAAGTGGGCCCATCAGCCACGGGTGGGCTCGGAGGTTCGCACGCGTCGGCGATGGTCGGGGGGTGGGACCTCCTCTGGAAAAACGGCCCGCCGCGAAACATCGGCGCGGGGGCGAGGCCAGGCGGGAGCGCAGGCCCGCGGAGAGCACGGCGGGCGCAGCACCCCCTCGAGAGAAGCCGAAGGAAAGGTGCGACAGTCGACTCGACGAGAAGGAAGGGGCTCCGTCCACCTCCGAGAGGCAGGAGGGCACCAACCATACACCAACACGGATCCTGGCCATATACCAGCACCATCCAACACCAACCATACGCCCTGCCTTGGGCAAGAAGACATATACACCGATCCTTGGCCCAGGGTGATCCTGGCCAGGATCGGTGTTAGTGTGTAGCTGGTGCCCTCCGAAGAGGAGGCGCGTCCCTCCGACCCCAACTGCTCCAGCACCGCTTGGGCGGCCCGGGCGCCTCAAGATGGACGCGAAGTTGGCCTTCCTGGAGCCGTGGAACGCCAAACGCAAGGAGTCCTCCAGCCGCCCGCTCCGCCGCAGGCGCTGCAAGAACTGCCGCTCGACGGCGGCCGAGACGCCCGCGTCGGACACCCGTGCGCCTGGGCCGAACGCGTGGTGCAGCTCCGCCGAGAAGCGCTGGCCCACGTACTCCCTGATGCTCTGGAAACTCGGGCCCTGGAAACGCCTGCTTGCAGGCTGAGGTATCTCTTCCTCATTCACTCTCTCTCTCTGCCTCTATCTGTCTCTCTCTCCTCCTATGCCTATAAACCTGTATGCCTCGTTGTCTCTCCCCCTCTCGCCTTCTCTCATACACCCTTTTTCTCTCTCCCCGATGCATATGATGTATGCATGTTGGCCAGCGTGGGCCTCGAGCCGTGTGCTTCTAGCTGTATAACTCGTGCAATCTATGTGGTGAAATCCACTCTGCTGAACTTGAAGTCGTCATCTCCACTGCTCGCGCAAACATCCCACCCACCTACCCGCAACTTGGTTTGCAAAACCTCTTAAGACCGACTACGACGACACCGACGACAACGACGACGACGACGACGACGACACCGACGACGTCTCCGACGACTTCGGCGACGACAACGACGCCGACGACGACGAAGACGACGACGACGCCAACGAAAACGACGACGAGGGAGGAGGAAGGACGACGACGGCGACAACGACGACGACGACGACAACGACGAGGGAGGAGGGTGGACGGCGACAACGCGAACGACGAAGATGGAGGAAGGACGGCGACGCCGACGACGACAACGACGAGGGAGGAGGGCAGACGACGACGACGACGACGACGACGACGACGACGACGGCGACGAAATAGGAGGGACGACGACGAGACGCCGACGACGGACGACGACGACGACGAGGGAGGAGGAGGAAGGACGACCACGGCGACAACGACGACGGCATTACATACCCGAAAGGGGTACCGACAACGCCGGGGGGGTAGATCCTATTCTGTTTTTAGAAAAGAGAATATATGTATTGCCTTTGATGTGGTGCAAGGGTTGCTGTGCCGTCCGTGTGCAATCGACGCGTTTCCATAGATAATGTGCAAACTATGTGGTGCATTTCACGTGGTGCTATCCTTGCGGTGCACATACATGGTGATGCAATATGCGGTGCAACCGATGTTGTGCGATCTAAAAGGGCGACAAGGCGGCGACGGCGACAACAGAAAGCCAAACCGACGCACAGGCCCAAACGACGGGCGGCGACGGGGCGGCGACGGCGACATCATTGCCGCCAAACCGACAGGCAGGCCCACACGACAGGCGCCGACGAGGCGGCCACGGGGCGACGGCGAGTACGTGGCCGTCGCACTGGCCGCCAGGCCGACACGACGGTCGGCGAGAAGGTGGCGACAGAGCGGCGACAGAGGGCACCACAGCCGACACGCCGGCCGTCGGGCCCAGTTCTCTCGAAAACAGGCGGCATCCTCCCAGGACCTCACTAGCGGTGCGATGGCGGTGGAGGACAGGCAGGGGACGGCGGTGCTACCTCTTTTACGCGTGGCGTTTCCAGACTCTCTGTGCGCTGCGCAGGGCCCCTGCCGCCCCCAGGAACTTGATGCCCCAGAATAGTGTTAGGTCGGGCCTGTCCCCCTACGGCTACGGGGGGATCTTGGGCGAAAAATTACGATGATTAAAACAATACTCCTAAAATGCGCAAGATTGTAACAACAATAATCCCCCGACTATTTTCTGACTATTTTTGGACATCCCTCCTGTAAAGGGACAGGCCCAACTTAAGAGTAGTGGGTGGGTTGCTCAAATCGGCCGCGCGCATGGGTCCAAAATGGCAGCAGACGTCGGGCACAGAAACAAGGACAGCTTATGAGGGTCGGCTGATTATATCCAACCCCCACTGGGGCCACAGAAACTAAAAATGATTGGGTCCTTCTTTCGAAAACCGAAATTTATATCAGCTGTAGGCGCCCAAAGGGGTCACGTGGACGAGCCCTGGGAAAGACCCGACGACACCCCGCGCCCTCCTCCCGCCCTCCCCTGCCCTACCTCTGCCTTCCCTCCCTCCCTCGCTTGCCCTCCCCTGCAACTTGTTGGATTGCCTGCGGGCACGCCTGGAATGGCGCCCCGGCCATGACGGCCAACGCGAGAAAGTTATCGTGGCGCCACGGGGATGGGCATGCGTCTGCCACGAAAAAAACCTGATTATACACCCCGCCCACAGATATACCCCACCCGCGGAGGGTTAAGTTCGATGGCGGCGCGGACGCTGGAGGTCCGTCGTGGACTGCTCCACCTGGAGAGCCAAGGTACTCCGAAGTGTTCAGGAAAGACTGGGAGCAATGCAAGATCTGTCCTCGTTTCACGCGATGCACTTTGTTATGCGACGCGCGGTGGCAAATAAACACATATCGCTTTGCAAAGACGCGTGGAATCAAAACACGACTTGCACAATGATAAAATCCAGCCCCCGAACACGTGCATGCCTGGGGGTGGGTGTCATGTCTCGGACCCAGAACTTAGTGTTGGCACACGGGGGCAGACCCTCGCATAGAATAGCGGTGCGATGGCGGTAGCGAAAGGCAGAGGATGACGGTGATGCCTCTTTTACGGGTGGCGGTTCCGGGAGTCCTCTGCGACGCGCAGGGCCCGCCGCTCCGAAGAACTGGATGCCCAAGAGGAAGGAAGAGCACAGGAAGTGATGAGGCGGATCCCAGGGGCACACCCAGGACACCGCAAACGTCAGAGGCCCATCCGACCCCTGGCCCACCCCCCCGACGTTGCGAGCGTCGGATGACCACCCGACCTCACCTCGCTCCACGTTCCCGCTTCTCTGAGTACAACCGTGCCGCGCCGCCCGCTTCACCATCGCCGGGGCAAGTACGAATCGAAGTTGCTATCTTCACGCGTTGGATAGCTACAGTTGCGCGAACGTGTGGCAGGGCTGACTATGTGATTATTACCATGTCAGCTTTCCGAAATTACGAGCGTGTGGCAGGGCCATAGAAGCTTCACCACTCCAGCCTTCCCAGGTCACGAACGTGTAGCAAAGCCAAACTATTCTCACCATGCCACCCATCGGACTCGCGACGCTCCGTATATCCGTGCATCCGTACACCATATATCCGTAGCCGCGAACAGGCGGGACGAAAGGCTTACCATCTCCCGCGAAAACTGAACCTTACTGTCCTCGGAGGCTCATTATCGGAAGCACAGGCTTATTCTATCAAGCCCGTGATGACCCACATCCTCCACACATCTTGAATGGCGGCACGTCCAGAGGGCACATCCAGAGAAAACACGTCTTCGGAGGCCCGCGCGGACTGCGTGAATCGGCGCTGGGCCGCCCTCCCTGGCGCGCGGAGCGCGCCAATGGACGGGTCCAGCACCGACCCGAGAAAAGGCCACGCGGACGTCCGAGAGTTGATGTGCATGCCGTTCTCCTCTCGTGCACGCGGAGCCCATGATGACTCACACCCCCGCGCTCGCAAGAGGATGTCAGTCAAGGCGCTGAGGGTGCCAGGGCCTGGGGCGCCCACGCCGGGGCTCTCCGCGCGGGGCTGGCCATGGCGGTGGACAAACCTCCCTTTCGTAAACCACCCTTTAGCGAAACCGGCCCAGGACCGAAACCGACGGACCTGGGCCCGCAGAAATGACGGCCGCGATGCCCTCTCGCGATCCGAAAACGGCCAATTCGCGGGTCGACGTGTCAGGGTGGGTGCATCAACCGCCGATTCACTCCCGGTAACGACACCTCCCGCGTCTTGGCTGCACCGTGCCCCCCCCCCCCCCCCGCACACTTTGGGCCCCCACAGGCGCCTCGCGCCCTCGCGCGGCCCTCCGTGTCCGAGGCGGGGGCCTCCGGCTGCCACGCCCCGCAGGCGCGAGGCGGTGACCTGAGCCGCCCCCCCTCCTCCTCCTCTGATCACCACGAGAGTTGCCGCGTCGACTCTGCACGGAAAATCTGGATGCTGGAACCAGCAACGCAACAAGCAGAATTTCACCGCGAATTCCTTAATCAGCCACGCACGCAGGGACAATGAATGACCGCTCGCCCCCCTCACTCTGATTAACCACACGTGCCCGCGAGGAGTGCTGGTCTTGGGAGAGAGAGAGAGAGAGAGAGAGAGTGAGAGAGAGAGGGAGGAGAGAGAGAGAGAGGGAGAGACAAATCCTTCTCCGTCTCCCTCTCCTCCTCCTTCTCCTCCTCCTTCTCCTCCTCCTGTCTCCTCCTCCTCCTCCTCCTCCAGCCTCCTCCTCCTCCTCCTCCGCCTCCTCCTCCTCCTCCTCCTCCTCCTCTAACTCCTCCTCAAACTCTTCCTCTAACTCCTCCTCCTCCTCATCACCCTCCTCTTTCTCCTCCTCTTTCTCCTCCTCCTCCTCGTCCTCCTCCTCTCCTCCTCCTCTCCCTCCTCCTCCTCCTCCTTCTTCTACTCCTCCTCCCCCTCCTCCTCCTCCTCCTCCTCCTCCTCCTCCTCCTCCTCGTCCTCCTCCTCCTCCTCCTCCGCCTCCTCCTAATTTCCTGGGAGCCGGCGATTAATTGAGTCTGTGTTTCCCCCCGCCCATGAATCGGGGGAACAAGCAATGGCATAAACATACAAAAAACTCCGAGGACCGCGCGGACTTCTCGGATCGGCGCTGGGACCCCCTGGCGGCGCCCGCGTCCCGCGCGCCAGGGAGGGGCTCCAGCGCCGCTCCGAGCAATCCGCAGGATGAGGAGGAGGAGGAGGAGGAGGAGGAGGAGGAGACCCAGCCTGGTCGGAGGAAGCTCGAAGCCGACGAAGATGCTGGCCAGAGAAGGTTGAGCCCCCTGAGCTTGCGAGCCGAAGGGAGGGGGCTCTTCGCAAAGAAGACACGAAGGAGACGCTCGGCGCCCACAAGAAGGCGCCCTTGTGACGGGCTGCGGCGCGGCCTGCGCCGTGGAGCCCTTCTCGAAAGGGTCTCGAAAGGAGGAGGAGGAGGAGGAGAAAGAGGAGGAGGAGGAGGAGAAAGAGGAGGAGGAGGAGGAGGAGGAGGAGGGGGAGGAGGAGGAGGAGGAGGAGGAGGAGGAGGAGGAGGAGGAGGAGGAGGACGGGTCGCCTAAGCCCTTCGGAGAAACCCTCCACCCCTGCCCTCGGCTTCGGACCCGCGGAGGCCGCCGGAAGCGGCGGGCGGCCGGCGCACGCGCCCCCTGGCTCAGGCCCTCCTCCGGCGATCGGCGCGCCTCCCGGCGCCGGCACGGGTGGCCTCTGCAGGGGGCGGCAAGAGGCACGTTCGGGAGGGACCAAAGGCGGGGTTCCGGGCCGGGTGGGGCTGGCATTCGGTCGGGCGTGTCCCCCTACAGGCGGATTTTGGACGAACATTAAACAATACCCAAAAGTACTCAAACACATTCGAAAACTATGAAAAATAGTCGCCATACCATTTTTTATATATTTTTGAATAGTCCTCCTGTGCAGGGACAGGCCCGACTTCAGGCTGGCCGAGAAAATTGCCTTGGACTCGCTTCTGAAAAACTGGATGCCGCGTGCCTGCGCATCCTGAACGCTGCGAAGCGCGCGCTTCGTTAGCTCCCCCCGAGCACTCGCGTGGCGTGCGTCCCGGGGTGCCCTCCCTGGGCTCCTCGGGGGGCCCTCCCGGGGCTCTTCTCGTGGGGGCGCCTCCAGGCGCCGGCACGGGTGGCCTCTGCAGGGGGCGGCAGGAGGCACGCGCAAAAAGGGCCGTGGGCCAGCGCGCGCCGCCACGCGGGGCCCGGGCGGACCGTGCTGTGCAGCGAAGGGGGCAGAGTTGGGTCGGGCATGCCCTCCTGCAGTAGGCGTGTCGAGGCAAGGTAAAAGGAGTCCAAACGTGTTCAAAAATAGTCAACAAGAGTCGTCGAACAAAAAGTCCCCAGAGTATTTTCTTACTATTTTTGAATGTTCTTCCTGTAGAGGGAGAAGCCCGACTTAAGGGTAGACTTGGGTCGGGCATGCCTTCCTACATGCGTTTGTCTTGAAAGAACATTGAAAGCAGATCTAATGTTCAAACCTCGTCCAAAAGCAATCGAGACATCGTCACCAGTCGATTCTTTTGACTAGTCTGGTATATTCCGCCTGTAGCGGGACAGGCCCGACGTAAGGGTAGAGGAAGAGGAAACGCAGGGAGCGGAGGCCGGGGCCGGCGGCGCCGGCACGAGTAGCCGGGGGGGCGGCAAGACGCACGAATGAGAAGGGCCGCAGTGGAGACGGGCCCTTTCTGGGACGGGGATGTGCCCCATACCCACCGCCGGCGTAGGCGATCCTCCCGGACCCTGGGAGGCGGCTGATCTGAATATGTATATCTATATACACATTGTATACACAAGCATACATACATACATATTCTCACAACTTCATGTTTATACGAATACCATGGCGCGAGCTTCGCGCGCGCTCAGGTACTAGTGCAGGCCGAGGGGTCGCTCAAAGAGCTTGGACAGCGCTTTCATGTCTTAGCGTGTGCCATATAGTCGTGCCAATCCTGGGCCTCATCCTCGTTCCCGTCCTCAACCTCGTGCTCCTCAGCAGGCACAGCCTGCCCGTCGTCATCATAGTCCGCCACAGTGCCCCGAGGCACGAAGTGGGCGTGTCCTCCAGTAAAGGCTGCAAAAGAGGCAGGCGTGATGGTGGCCTTGCCTCTGCCGACGCGCCAGTGGCGCGAAGCCCCTAATTAATCACATCATCAAGCCGAAAGACCAGGGGGGAATTATTGGGAGGCCCAAAACGGTGCGGTGACAGACCGCGCGGTGACCTCGGAACCGCAAAAGACCTCACCGCACGGTCCGTCACCGCACGGTCTTGGGACCCTGGAGGCCCCTGTCGCCCGAGACATCCTCGGAGAGGGGCTCGAGTCCCAAAACCGTGCGGTGACCCCGAATCCCCACCGACTCACCGCACGGTGTGGTCACCACACCGTTTGGGGGCCCCCGAAATTAACTAATACATGAATACTTGAGCCCCCTTAGTGGGCGTGTCCTCAGGTCCTTTGGCCAATCCTCTGAGCCTCCGTCCTCGCTCCCGGAAGGTCTCGAGGGGCCCGGATCCCCAATCGCCGAATCTTCGTCGGCCTGCCGCGTGCCTCCCGGGCCGGGGCGCGGCTCCCCGCGCGACCTGTTCGGGGTCGACAAGGGGCCCCCAGCAGGGCCAGGGGGGCCGCGAGAGGTCTTCCAGACGGTCCAAGGAGGCCCCAAGTCGCCGAAGCATCGCCCAAATACGACCGAGATGGCTCCAAGACGGTCCGTGAGGACCCCGAGACGGCCTAAGAGCGCCCGAAGACCCCAAAAGGCCCTCAAGAGGCCCCCAGGGAGGCTCCCAGGAGGCCCCCGAGAGGGCGCCCAGAGGGCCCAAAGAAGCCGTTTCCTCTTCGTCCGCATTTTCTCCCTCTCCTCTACCTCCTCCTCCTCGTCAACATAATTCTCCTCTCTTCTCCTCCTCCTCCTCCTCCTCCTCCTCCTCCTCCTCCTCGTCATCATCATCATCATCATCATCATCATCATCATCATCATCATCATCATCATCATCATCATCATCATCATCATCATCATCATCATCATCATCATCATCATCATCATCATCATCATCATCATCATCATCATCATCATCATCATCATCATCATCATCATCATCATCATCATCATCATCATCATCATCATCATCATCATCATCAGCATAATCAGCCTCATCATCATCATCATCATCATCATCATCATCACCACCATCATCATCATCATCAACATCATCATAAACAACAACACCACCATCAGCATCATCATCACCATCATCATCAGCACCACCACCACCACACCATAATCATCGTCATCATCATCATCATCACCATCATCAGCAACATCATCATAATCAGCATCATCATCATAATCATCATCACCGCAATTATCTACATCATCCTCATCATCATCATCATCAACAGCATCGGCATCATCAACATCATCATCCCCACCGCGCGGACGAACGATGCCGAGATCACGACCCTCCCCAATTCAGACCACTCGTTGAACTGCCGTTGGGTGTGACCTCGATCTGTGTCCTACAGCGCGGGCGAAGGCGAGGTTGAATTCACGACCTTTCCTTATCAGATCACTCGTCGGAAATGCGCCGTTCCTAAACTCAACCTCCTTCCTGCTGCTCTGTTGCACAGGCGCGGTAGCGGGGTTTGCCGCAAACAGCTGGATATGTGTTGTGTGTTTGATGCTGAGTTGATGTCCCCTTTGCTCGTTTGTGTGGTTCATTCGGTGTGCTTGATTCTGGCTCTGTTGTGTGTGAATGTGCTTTTGTTAATGTTTGTTTTTGTTTCTTGGGGAGGAAATGGATACGTGGAGAGGGAAGGAATGGAAACAATAATGTACGACATCACCATCTTCATCTAGGTCGTGGCCATCATCGTCATCGTCATCAACATCCTCACCAGGATCGTCATCATCATCATCATCAGCAGCATCATCATCATCAGCAGCATCATTATGAATTCCTCGTCATTACCATCATCATCCTTCCTCCTCATAAGCATCGCCTTCCTCCTTGTCCTCCTTCTCCTCCTCGTCCAGCTCATTCTGAACCAACTATTGGCATGCTGCGCATCTACAGTTGGTTCAGGCCATGGGCCTCCCAGGCAACGTTTTTTTTTCTGGGCCTAGTTATCGTGCTCGCCGTCGTCCTCATCCTCGTGGGGTGCAGTTGTCGTTGTGCCAAGAGGGAGGGGGACCAAACACTTCGACGTTATACCTGCATATTAATAGATCTATGTACATATATCTACTATATATATATATATAACAACAACAAAAAACAAAAAAAAACAAAAAAAAAAAAAAAAGATAGCGTAAGCATTTGAATGTCGGAGCTCCGCATGGAGTTCTTGGATCTGCGCTGGGGCCCCCTGGCGGCGCCTCCGGCGCCGCCCCTGGCGCGCTCAGCACTTCAGGGAGGGGAGTCCAGCGCAGATCCAAGGATTCCACTCGGAGCTCCGAAAGTTCTGCTTATTCGGCGGCAAGCCCGGGGGGCAAGTGAGAAAGGGCGGGGCTTATCAGAAGGCTCGGAGCTCGGACGTCCCCCAGCCTTCTGAGACGGTTTCTAAGCCTTCCCCAAGACACGGGAACCTATCAGAAGACCGAAGGGCTTCTGAGAAATCCCGACGCCTTCTGAGAGGGTCTCCTCCTTCTCACCTCCCCCACTCGCTCTGCCGAGTGTATGCAGTCTTTCCTCCTTCGACCTTCCCACCTCCCATCGCCCAATCTTCTGGCCGCCGCAAGCCAGCGCTTTTCCGGCCGAAGCCCCCTCTGGGCGTGCCTGCACAGAAGTCGCGGGCGGCGACGCCCTCCTCCAGGGGCGCCCGCAAAACAGCTCCTTTCGCGCCCAGCCATTCGAGGCTCCCTCGATGGGGTCGGGGTAGATGGGGTCGGAGGATCGCGCCGCACCGGCAACGCGTCGCAGACGTATCGCCGACGCATCGAAGATGCATCGGCAACATCGGCGGGGCAGCAGCGAAGCCAGCGCGGGCAACATCGGCCTCCAAATCGAGCCGCACCAGCGATGTATCGGCCATGCGGCGCGATCCTCGGACCCCACCCGAGAGGCCCAGACCTGCGCGCGCCCAGCCGCGCACACGAGCACGCCTCCCCAGTCCACGAGGCCAGCCTCGGGTGGCGAACGCTCGCGCATGTAGGGCCCGGGTAGGACCGCGCCATATCGCTCGGAGGCTCGCGCATAGATGGGGTCGGAGGATCGCGCCGCATCGCTGATGCATCGGCGATGCGGCTCGATGCGGGGCCCGATGTTCTCCACGCCGACGTCGCCGGCTCATCGCAAATGTCGCCGATGCACTAGCGATGCATCGGCGATGCGGCAGCGATGCGGCGCGGTCCTCCAGCCCCATCTCTGCTCTGACCCCACCTGGGAGGCCTGGAAGCAGCCTCACACACACACACACACACTCTCGAAGCACTCTCGAAGCGCCCACGAGCATCGACGCGCGCGCGCACGCTTCTGTTCGCCCCTGGTCCTCCGAGATGGCGTCCTCGGGGAGCGAAGAATGACATAACCATAAAGCTCGGAGGTCCGCGCGGAGGTCTCCTCGAACCGGCGGTGGACCCCCCCTCCCTGGCGCGCGGAGCGCGCCAGGGGATCCGAGTTTTATGCTAGTGTCATTGTTTGTTCCCCAGTTTCTCTGTCCGCTTGTCTTAGGTGAGGCGTGTCCACCTACAGGCGGACTTTGGACGAAAAATAAAGATAGTCAAACATATTCAAAAAACAAGCTAGTAAAAAACACTCCCCACACTGTTCTCTGACAATGTTTGAGAATTCCTCCTGTAGAGGGACTGGCCCGATTTAACCCTGGACCTCCGAGGTGGCGTCCAACGGCGCCGACGACGCGTCCGGCGCCGCGGCCGCGCCCACGGCCTCGACGAAAGCTCGGGGGCGGCACGGCCCGCGGACGTCTGCCGGGGCGCCGCGGTGCGAGCCCTCCTCCCCGGAGCTCGGGCGGGTGGCGGAGCAGCTGCTGCGCGGGGAGGCGGCCTCTGGGGGCTACCAAAGCAAGGGCTCCCAACTTCGCGCTTCGCGCTGCGCGAAGCGCGAAGTGCGAATAACTTCGCGCTCTCGCGCCGCCTCCCAAGAATTGAAGAGGAGGATGAGGAGGAATCGGGGCCGAACCGCGAAGCGCGAAGCGCGAATAACTTCGCGCCCTCGAGGGCGCCCTTGCAAAGGCGGTGAACACATCCGTGCCCGGCGGTCGGAAGAAGCACGTAGAAACATGAAGCAGCAGGCGTTGATTATACACCCTGCGAAATGCCTAAGAAATCATGGGTTAAGAAATTCATAGTCTCAGAACTTCAATAAAAACCCAAAATTTCCATTCAGAACTTAGGATTTACATTGGAACATTAAGAATAATCGAGCCTCTGGCCGAAAACCTAAGTTTTCTTAAACATCGCCTCAGGTGTAGGTTGGGTTCCGTCCGCCCGCTGAGGAGGACGGAAGAGGTGAAGCCGCTCGATCACTGAAGTAGGAAGGCGCCGAAACGAGACTGGAACCTGGGACTCCAGAAAAACCTGCTTTCAACGACAGATGGGTATCCGGACCCTCGCGGTGTGGATTTCGGGGCTCGATCCCACGGATACGCGACCGCACGGATGCGTGTCACGCGGGGCATCCGCGAGCAAAAACGCCCTGTACCCGCGGTGTCGCGGCCCAGCCCGCGAGACCCTCGGATACGGACTTGCTTTTCGCCCGCGAGACGACGACGGGGTGGGGCTCTCAAGCTGGTCCAGGCTTAGGCCAGCGCTCAAGGCATGGGCTTGCGAGCCCCTCGTTTTTCTCGAGCCTTGTCGCACATGTCATGGGTTGGGAGCTGCAAAAAGGGCATCGCGCGAGGGGACCTGATTTCAAAAGGGAGCCACAGTCGACGCGGGGGAGAACGAGGCGCGAGGAAGCAGGGGGCAGGGGCGAAGAGAGAGAGGGGCCGCAGGTGCGCGCTCCCCTCTGTTCCAAGCAGGGGGGTGCGGAGGAAGGAGCAGCTCCGAGGTAGGAGGAGGGGGGGGGGAACCAGGGGAATGGGTAGCGCTGACAGACGGTGATGATGATGGTGGTTTGTACTGGTGGTGATGATGATGGCGATGTCGATGAGGTGGGTGATGGAGGCGATGGTGATGATAATGATGTCTATGCTGTAATGCTTGTAGGACTGGTGTTAAGGATGATACTGCTGATACTGCGAATGTTAATGATAATAATGATGATGATGAGGAGGAAGACGAGGAGGAGGAGGAGGAGGATCCCGCTCTCCCAAGGGGGGAGAGTAGCCGTCGACTCGCGGTCTCCCCCTTCACTTGATGATGATGATAATGATGATGATTATGAAAATTATGATGATGATGACGAATATGATGATGATGATGATGATGATGATGATGATGATGAGGAGGAGGAGGAGGAGGATGATAATGATGATGGTGGTGATGATGATGCAGATGATGCAGATGATAGTGATGATGATGACGATGATGATGCTGCTGATGCTGGTGATGACGATGCTGATGATGGTGATGGTGTGTGATCAGCATGAGTGGTGCTGATGGATATGCTGAGTGCGGTGATGATGATTGATGGGATGACGATGGTGACGGAAAGCATGGTGATAATGACGACGACGGCGAAGCGAAGGAGGAATCGAATGATGATGACGATGATGTTGGTGATAGTGGTATGATTATGATTGAAACGATGGTGTTTGCGTTTGTTGTGTGTGTGTGGGAGAAGGGGGGTAATGGGGGAGATCGAGCAGGATGAGGGGGATACTGAGGAGGAGGAGGAGAAGGAGGAGGAGGAAGATGGAAGAGGTGGGAAGGGGAGGATGACGAGAAGGATGGTAGGGTGAGATGGTGGTGCGAACGACAATGGTATTGAATATGACAACTGTTGCCGCTTCGCGTGTCCCCACCAGCCCATCCAGAAATGATGCCCAAGAAGTTGGGACGACAGGGAAGTTTAGGAGCAGGAGAGGGGCCAGCTGCTTCTGCCAAGCAACAAGGGAAGAAGATGAAGATGAGGAGGAGGCGCCAGGCCCTCGCGAGGACCTCCGCCGAGGGGCCCGGGGCCGCGGGAGGGCGCCCCCCCTCGAGGGTCACCAGGGGTGCCCCTGGACAGAGGTGCCCCCCAGGTTCTCGACCCGCGTGGAGGCCCCTGGGGGCCCTCTGGGCCTCGTGCGGGGTGCTCTCCGAGGCCGTGGGGGCCTCCCGGGAGGCCCTGGGGGGCGCCCCGGGCCAGGGGCACTCCCTGCCAGCGCCCGACCCCCCCCCCTTATTGCGGGAGGCCTGGGAGCACCCGCCGGCGCAGCCAGGCGCCATGCGCCGCCCGCGGGCGCGCGCGCGGAAGCCCGAGCTCTGCGGCAAGTCACGGGAGCCTCCGAAATTACTTCGGGTTCGTGCGGCGTCGGCGCGCGCAAAAGTTTGTGACACCGCGTCGATCGTTCGACCTTGAACCGATCGCGGCCCCTATCGTTCGAGGTTGAATTCCGTCGGGTCCAATGGCGTTGCCGTGTCCCCCGTGCTTCCGCGTCGCAGAATTCAACCTTGAACGTCTTGGCAAGCGTCACTGGCGCGCCAACGCCACATGACCTCGGCGACGAGCCCAGGGGGGAAGTGAGAGGGGGCAGGCCTTCTCAGAAGGCGGAGGGGCTTCTCAGAAACCATCCAGCACTCTGAAGAGAAATAGTCTGTATCTTCGAAGAGAGCCTGGGCAACTTCTCAGATGGCCAGAGGACTTCCGAGTCGTCAGAGAAAGCCCGCCACGCCATCATCTTGTTTGCCCTTGCGAATCAAGGATGCTCGAAGGTAGTCGACACTGATCGGCGCTATATTTCGACGCTAGTCGACGCTAAATCGGCGCTATCTCATCGACTACCAAACGCCAATTGACGCTGGTGCATTCCGGAGACTGAATTACCAGGGTGCACAAGGCCCCCATGAATTGCCACCGAACTAGAGAGACAACAAACAGCAAACACATAAACTGTCGGACCTCCGCGCGGAGTTCTTGGATCGGCACTGGGCTCCTGCGGCGGTTTCCTGGCGCGCTCCGCGCGCTGGGAGAGGAGTTCAGCACCGATCCAAGACGTCCGCACGGACCCCCGAAGTTTCTCTGTTTAGGCCGTTCTGTTCTCCGGGAAGCCTGGGGGAGGGGCCGGGGGTTGCCAAAAGTGTGCTCCTGGCAGCAGGCAGGCGCGAGTTAGATCGAATCGCGAAGTTGGCTCGGCCAGGGAACGGATCGGATCGACAGCGAGTCGTCCTGGATAGCATCGAAGTCAGCTCGCCACGCCTGGCTCGGCCCGACTCGGCCCGATTTGCGGGCCATGAACCTGCCAGACCATGCCAACCGTTTTGCCATGGCCTTCGCCGGCGAGGTGGACGCCGCGGACGTGGGCGAAACTGGTGTCGACTACATCGGCACAGCCGCCGTGGCTACGTAAAAAACTCCCAGCCGCCGTGCTACCTCTTGCGCCACCTCGCCGTTGAAGCCCTGGATCTCGGACCGCACCATGTCACTCGCCGAGAAACGCAGCGAGGCCATGGGCGTGCGGCAACCTGGCCGGAGACAGGCGCTGGAACTGCGTCGTGGGAGAGCTCCATGAAGACGGGCAGGGCGCAGTGGCTGGAACACCTCCTGGCGGCGGGCGAATGGGACCAGGTGCGACGATTGCGTGGAGGTGCCAGACTTAGTTAGGTCGGACATGTCCCCCTACGGGCGGATTTTTTGGGCGAGAAATTCAGACTACGCAGAACATGCCCTGAACTAGTAAAATGCTCAAAACATTGTCTCCAGACGATTTTTAACTACTTTTGGATATTCCTCCTGTAGAGGGACGTGCCCGACTTAAGGCCAGACGGAACCTTCACGTCGACCTGGTTGACTCCGAGACCGGCGCGGACACGCTGGCGGAGATCTTGACGGAGGTGCAGTGGGCAGAACGGGACACCACGACGATGCTGAAGACGTCCCTTAGCCCCGGCTCGCCACTGAACCTGGCAGATCGAGCATGAGGAGGTTATCGAGGCAGCCGAGCGTATGAAGTGGAGCAGGGCGTGTGGAAGTGACGGCATCCCTGGCGACTTTCGGAAAGCGATCTCCACCAGCGGCACCCTGGCGAGAGCGTGGGCCATACCATTGTGCCAGCGATGATGGGACCAAGGCGCCGTGCCAGAGTCTTGGCACAACTCTTTAGTGATTGCTGTAGCCCAGAAGGGAGACGCTGCTCTCTACGGCAACTGCAGCCCAGCGTGATGGCTCCAGGTCGGGTGCAAGTTGTTTGCGACTCTCCTCCTCCGCCGTATGAAAGACGCGGGCGCCGAGGGCCGCGTCTGGGGCACCCAGTTTGGCTTCAAATCGCGCCACAGCGCCAAAGACGATAGTTCCTCGGCAGGCGACGGCTACACAGACGGCCAGCTCGTCTTTCTCGCGCTAAGACTGGGCCAAGGCAGTTGGTAGCATCAGGCCGACGCCTTTGCTGAAAGCATTGCAACGCTTCGAAGCCCCAAAGAAAACATGATTCGAGCCACCTGCACGGGAAGGAAATTCGTGGATCGCGAGGCAGGCGCAACGTGCGGGACCTGCGATCAGCACGCGGGAACTTGTCAAAATTGTCCTCTCTCCCCTTTCTTGTTCCGCTATGGTGATGACCGTGCTGCTGCGCGACGCCAGGGTCAGGTCGGGCATGCCCAGGCCCATTTTGCACGAAATATTAAAAAGAAAACAAAACATACCCCCCCCCCCAAAAAAAAAAAAAAAATACTCAAACATAGAAGGAACAAAAAAAAAAAAACGTCCCCAGGCTAATGTTTGACTGTTTGTGAACATTCCCCCTTTAGAGGGACAGGCCCGACCCAACGCCAGGGACATACGGAGGGAACGCACGGGAGACACGGAGGGCCCAATGTGCGCCGATGGCACCCTCGTCGTGGCCACGAGCGCGGGGCGTGCGCAGGCGTACGTCCACGGAGGCTGTAGCTGCTTCTGGCGCGAACCACAGATCCAAGTTTCGGTTGGGCGTGTCCCCCTCCCTACAAGGGGATTCGGGGCGGAAAATTAAAATACTCCAACCATATTCCCAAAACTGTCAAACATAGTCATAACATCGTCCCCTGATTTTTGTTGCGACTATTTCCCTACCTAGGCTCTGCCTAGAAGGGTTCTTAATCTCTGGGCTTAAAGGGGCCGGGCAGTGGAAAGCGCCCCGGACGGTTCCCCCAGTATCCGCCCCGCGGTTCCCCCAGTTACGTCCCCATAGCTTAGCATTGCTTATCTCATCTTAGCTTAGCTGAGTTCATATTAGCTTAGCTTAGCTTCATATCAGCTCAGGTTTATCTTAGCTGAGCTTACCTTCATCTTAGCTTCGCTGAGCTTTAGCATAGCAGAGCACAACATAGCATAACATAGCGTAGCATAGCATAGCGCAGCACAGCATATCATAGCATAGCCCAGCATAGCATAGCATAGCATAGCATAGCATAGCGCAGCACAGCACAGCACAGCATAGCACAGCGCAGCATAGCATAGCATACCATAGCAGAGCACAGCATAGCATGGGTGTAGTTCCCTACCTAGGCTCTGCCTAGAGGGTTAGCTTAGCTTAGCTTAGCTAGCATAGCGCAGCGCTGCATTAGCATAACATAGCATAGCATACCATAGCCAAGCCAAGCATAGCATAGCGTAGCATAGCGCAGCATAGCATAGCACATTAGTTATAGCATAGCATAGCATAGCATACCGCAGCTTTGCATAACACACCATATCATAGCAAAGCTTAGCATAGCATAGCGCAGCATGACATAGCATAGCTTAGCATAGCATAGCATAGCATAGGATAGCGCAGCATATCATATCATAGCATAGCATAGCATAGCATAGCGCAGCATAGCATGGCATAGCATAGCATAGCACAGCATAGCGACTAATGCTGCTTTCCTAGGGGCTCCAACTTCTAGGTAGGGTCGCACTGGGGTAAATTTTGGTATTCCTCCTTTAGAGGGACAGGACCGACTTAAACGTATGTTACATGGAGGCTGTAGCTGCTGCTTGTGCGAAATACAGCCCCAAGTTCAATGGAGGCAAGCTCGAATGGCTGTCAATCTGGTGCCACTGGCACGTGACGAGACCGGACGGCGCCCAGATCCTCGAAAAGGACTCCATGGCACATCTGGGGAGTGTACTGGCTGCCGATGGATCCGTTGCTTCTAGGCTGAGCAGGCGACTCTGTGGCGCCAAGTCCGAGTTCGACACCCTGGCCCGAAGTCTGGTCCCATCCCACCCTCACTGCGCAGCGGAAGTTGCACATCTTCGAAGCCTGTGGGCAGGCAAAATTGGTACGGCTTGCATGCGGCGTGGCTTCGGAAGCCCGAGTTGGCCAACATCGGCAGCTTCCACGTGAGGCGATCGAGGAAAATGTTGAGGAAACCGCACCCGTAACTACATCAATCGCATCCCGGACGCTGAAATTCTAGACAAAACCCGCCAGCCGCCCTTGAGTCGAGTTCTGTCGCACCGTCAAGTCTAGGGGAACGAAAAGTGGCATAAACATGAAAACTCAGGGGTCCGGGCGGATTTCTCGGATCGGCGCTGGTCCCTCCTCCCTGGCGCGCGGAGCGCGACAGGGGCGGCGCTGGAGGCGCCGCCAGGGGGCCCTAACGCCGATCTGAGAAATCCGCGCGGACCTCCGAGTTGTTATGTTTATGTCAAGTTTTCCCCTAACGTTCGTCGCACCGTCAATATGTCTCTTTGAACAGATCGCCCGCCACCCGGGCGATCCTCCTGTCCAGCGCGCGGTCTTCCAGCCGTCTTCTTCGGACCCGCGTCCGCCGGCAGGCAGACGACCCTGGGCAAGGCCGTACCAGTCTTGGCAAAAAGAATTGCGTACGCATGCGAAGATGAGGGGCAACGATAGGGGGGGATAGGCATAGAGGGGGGATGCATCGACCTGGAATCGGCGATACACCGCCGATCTTAGATCGGCGATAGGCACCCGATAGCGAAACCGAACCTTCCTGGGCGGGTTGGCCCCTATCGGCGATCAATGGGCGATTGGGGGTCGATGCATCCCCACCTATGCCTGTCCCCCCGTTGCCCCCGATAAGAGGAGTGCGTGAGAGCAGTGCGCGTGACGTTCAGCACCGCACGGCAAGCCCAGCAGAAACCTCTAAAAAGCCGTGTTGGCACAACTGCGTGCTGCGACGCCCGGCTTGCATTCACTCACGCCCAGCTCTGGCTGGCCCAGGCCGATGCCGGTGAATCAAACTGAACCGAATCAAATCGGAATCGCGGCCCCAGCTGGCGAATCGAACCAAGTCGAATCGAGTCGTAGGCGGCTATGGCAGAGCGCCCTGAGCTTTTCACGCCCTTTCTTGCCCCCCCAGGAAGCCGAGGGCCTCTGGGCCCAGTCCCCAAACCCCCGACGTTTCGATTTGTCCCTGCCCTCCTGTGTTGGTTTTTCATTTTGAATAGAGCGCTGTGGTCGAGTCTCCTGCTTCCTCCTCCCCAACCCCTGCCTCCCACCTCCTATTTGCTGCCTCCTGTCTCCTCTACCTTCTCTTCCTCCTCCCTTCTCTCCTTCGTCACGTTTGCGCTGCAGCCCCGTTGTGACTCTGCCTCTCTCGTGTGCTACTGGGAGGGGGGAACCCCGCTGTCCCCCTGGGAGGGCTGCGACATGCGAAACTGTCGTCATTTTCGTGGGCCCCTGGGAAGTCCAGCGGAATGGAGTTGTACGGGAATCTAATTCGGATTTCGTGGTTCCCTGGGCCAGGGGGGCTGCGACGTGCTCAAACGTCGCCACCTTCGTGGGCTCCTGGGAGGTCGCGCGGCGTGGAGTTGTACGGGGATCCAGGTGGGACCTCGGAGCTCCCTGAGGGGGGCTGCGAGGTGTCAAACTGTCACCACCTTCGTGGGTTCCTGGGAGGTCGCGCGGAAAAAATGCTTGCACGGGGACCCAGTAGGGACCTCAGAGCTCACTGGGGGGCTGCGAAGTGCGCAACTGTCGGCATTTTCGTGGGATCCTGGGAGGTCGCGCGGAATGGAGTTGTTCGGGGATCTAGCTGGGACCTCGCGGCTCCCTGGGGGGCTGCGAAGTGCGCAACTGTCACCACTTTCGTGGGTCCCTTGGAGGTCGCGACGATAAATGCAACCGACGATATGTACTCGCGTCCAAAATGGGGGAATTTCCCGTAGCGCGCGGCGCTGTTCCGTCACGCGGCGCTCGGCGGTGTCGCATCGCAGCTCGCAAGGAGCCGCTGCGCCACGCAGCGCATGGCGCTGTTTTTGCCCGCGTAGCCTCCCATCCTCAGCTGCCTCTGGCTGGCCATGCCACTCCGCGCGCGTTCCTCGCTCAGCGCGACGCGCTGTTCTGCTACAGGGCGAGCGCATGGTACGGTTCTTTCCCGCGAATGCAGCGATCGGCGCTGTTGCTGCTACTGAACATGTATGTCCCTCCTTCGTACACCTCTGTATGCTTATGGCACCGTGTCTATATTGTGTATTCCTACATGTGTTATTGCGTACTCTACCATATTGTTTCACAGGGGACCATGCTCTGGAGCCACCACGACCCCCGAAATAGCCGCCGAATCCAAAGAAGTAGCGCAGTATGTTTTTACGCGTTCTGAGAGCATGCAACGCTGGGCGCGCAGGCCCGCCTGCAACGCCGCCCGGCGAGCATCCATTTTGAACCAAACATCACCGCAGCCGTCGCCACCATCACCGCCAAGACCACAAGAGAACAAATGTTACATTCATCATCGCGTTGAGGGCACGTCAACCTGCGTCGCCGCACATCGACTCTCTGCCACAGCCGAGTGCTGCGTGCTCCCAGCAGCATTCGTCGACAGCTGTCAAAGCCAAACCGCCGACATGGTCCTTGAAAGGGCCGCCAGAAGGGCCGCCCTAGGGGCCGCAGAGATCGTCGGCGAAATCGCCGCCGAAATTGCCGGCGAAATCGCCGCCGCCGAAATCGCCGCCCAAATTACCGCCGAAATTGCCGCCGAACTTGCCGCCGAAATTGCCACCGAAATCGCCGCCGAAATAATTGCGAACTCCGCCAAAATCGCCGAAATTCAGCCGCCAAAATCGCCTCCGAAACTCAGCCGCCGAAATTGGCATTGCCCTGTCCAAAGCGAAATCATTTTTTATCAAGCTCGATGACGCCGCGGACACAGGCATTGAGTCACAGCCAAGGTCAATTTTGGCTTCTTTTCGGCGGCACAATCAAAAATTTCGGCGGAAATTTCGGCGGCGAGTTTGGCGGCAATTTCGGCTTCGAGCTTCGCGCTGCGCGAAGCGCGAAATGCGAATAACTTCGCGCTCTCGCGCCGCCTCCCAGGGGAGAGGAGGAGGATGAGGAATCGGAGCCGAACCGCGAAGCGCGAAAAACTTCGCGCCCTCGAGGGCGCCCTTGGGAACTCCGCTTCGTCGCAGGTAAAAACGCAACGAGGATCTGTTGGACGCCTTCGGTTTTCAGGGGCACTGCCCAGGCCCAGGTGCCGCCCAAGCTTACTCGCGATGGAAAGCTGGTCCCATGATAGGGGTCGGGACCTCTGGGGAGCCATGTTGCGGATATAAGCACTGCCTATAGGACCACCCTTCTGGTGGTTAGGAGGCTTGGGGGGGAAAGAACCAATTGATGACAATCTTGGTGGTTGTGATGAGGACGATGCCGGTGATGCGCCCTCGGGTTGGGGAACTCACAATCGATCTCACGATCGATCTCACAATCGATCTCACAACCGATCGCACTATCGATCTCCCAATCGATCTCACCGTCAAACTGGCAATCGAACTCACTGTCGATCTCACACTCGGACTTACTATCGACCTCACAACAGTTCTCATTATCAGTCTCAATATCGATCTCCCAATCGATCTCACAAACGATACCATGATCGATCTCAATGTCGATCCCACTACAGATCTCACAGGCGATCTCACCATCGATCTCACAACAAATCTCACGATCGACCTCACAACGGATCTCACGATCGATCTCCCAAACGATCTCACTATCGATCTTGCCGTCCTGCTCCAAGATACTGACTCGCGCCGCCCTGCTTCGGGACACGGAACACCAACGGGGCACCGACGGGACACCGACGCGCCACCAATGGGACACCCCCGGCCACCGCGCGCTGGGGGAGGGGAGGGGCGGACAGCGGACAACCAGCTCCACAGCTCTTAGCCACGGCTGCATCATTCCTATCGCGCGCCCACGAAGCTTCGCCTCGCCCGTACGCACGACACGAACAAAAAACCGAAGCCGATTTCCTGGTCGGAGGTCTCCGTTCCACTGCGATCTCACTCCCCAACCTCCGACGTTGGATGTTCGTGCTTTGCGTTCTTTGGTGCAAGATGCTTGCTTGGCGTGAGGGGCTGCCGTGCGCAACAGGGCCTCTCTGCACGAGGCGAGCGGTGGATTGCGAACCCCATGTGCGATCAGATCATGGAGAAGGAGGGTGGACGAAGGGGAAGGCATGCAGCAAGGAGTAAAGAGGGGAGAACAGCGGAAGAGACAAAGCATAACGGGCTGGTGCAACTTCAAGCGGATACTGAGGGCGGCATCCAACACTTCAGCGCCGTACGACACCATCAGAGATGTTGATAGCGCTATTTCACAGGATAAGCTAAAACAGCGCGATCTACAAACTATCAGTAGCGTGCTGTTGTGGCTATTCTGCAGGTGCCTTGCTCTGACCTGTCGTTTTTTGGCAAAGCCACACGTGGGCACAGACTGCCACAACAAAAGCGGCGGCTCCGCCCAAGTGCACGCACATATGCTGGCCCAGGAGCCGAAACGCAGAAACATTATGGGTAACATTACTGCTGCGGAGTGGCTGGGCAAAGCAGGTATGCTTGCACAAAACTGCCACGCAATCGCGGCATGCTTGCGCAGAGGCAACCCTGGCCACACGAGTTCCCCACAAAGACTTTGCTCTGTCGGTCGCCATGGAGCGACTGCCGCGGACAACATCGTACACGTGCAACTGCTGGGCACGCGGGCCCCCTTGTGGGCCCCGAGCGCACTCAGCAGCAATACATGTAGCACCCCTCGGCGCCAGGCTTCCAAGGAGAGCACGGCAGCGTCGCCCTGCACTTGCAGGACTGCATGCGGTTGCACCCGGCGGTCACGCTGTCCCCATCCGAACCGAAGCTGCCGCAAACGTTGGCGCAGACGTTGGCCGTGCCGGGCATACTGTTCGCTGGGGGGGCGCACACGAGGCCGGACGCGCACTGGCCATAGTACTGGCCAGTGCTCCCCCACGAGCCGCACTTCTCTCCGACCTGGTTGCCCGACGGCGTGGGCGCAGGCGTGGGCCTGGGGGGGTAGCTGCAGACCTTGGACGCGCCAGGCACGGCGTAGGGCGGGAGCTCGCACACGAGGCCGCTGCAGCACGAGCCCTGCCACTGGCCGGTGCTGCCCCAGTTGCCGCACTGCTGATTGACCGTCCTTGAGGACGACACAACCCACCCCCACCCAATACAGGACCCCCATTGCGGACCTGGTGATTCAGGGGATCCTGGCTGGGGTTGAGAACTGTCTCTTGGCCCCAAGGAGCACCCCAACAAAAGGAAAAAAAACACCCCCAGCCAGGACCCCCCGGATCACCAGGTCTGGAGTGAGGGTCCTGGCTGGAGGAGAGGGTGGGCTGTGCTGTCCTCAGTGAAGGATAGGGACAGACGAGCAGATAGACACCGATCCCGGGACTCCCCATTTTTTCCATACCAGCAGCTCCAGGGATACCGTCTTCCCCCCTGCTCCCCAAAATTGTCCAAGAACCGACCACAACGATGTTTAAAACGAAATTTCGATTACAACGAAGAACGAAACGAGGCCCAACGGTCAAAACGAACGTTTAAACGAAGCCGGTGCCAAACAAAAAAAGAACGACGAAACGGGGCCTTCAAAACAGCAACGAGCAACGAACAACGAAACGACAACGAAGAACGAAACGAAAAACAAAACGAGGGCCCAAGCCGCGCTAAACAGCGTTGTGGTCGGTCATTAGAGTTGTCCCATACTCTCCTGCACATCGAGGATCGGGTCGGGCGAAAGGGGGGGATAGCAAAGGGGGGGTTTGAGAATCAGCTCACGTAGCTGGTTTTCCCGGCGCCTTCCGGCGCAAGAGGCGGCCATGTGTCGAGGAATGGGCCCCTCGGCGAGGCCGAAACCAGCTGCATGCAGTAAATTTCGTAACCCCCCCTTTCCCTATCCCCCCCTTTCGTCCGGCCCGAGAGGAGTCTGTGCCCGTGTGCCCGCGGCAACTTTTCGCCCCCGACGCCGGTCCTGCACGAGGGCGGAGGAGCGGGCGTGGGAGCCGGGCCTCCCGGGCACGGGCCGCAGGTGGCGTCGCCGCAGTACTTGCACTGGGCGAGGCCCTGCCCGTTGCCCGCCGCCTTGCAGCACACGCCGCCCCCGGAGGTGGTGCAGCCCGTGGTGTCCTCGCTGTTCGAGCGGGGGATCGACTAGAGAACTGATCTGCCCCAGAACTCATTTTCCCCTATCGAAGCTAGCTGTGACGGAGACGTAGAGTGCTCGTACATCCACTGAAGACTCTGGGTATTTTTCCGCAGATTCGACGAGACAAGTAATCGTGGGGCACATCGATCCTGTAGCCGATCCCTTACTCGAACAGTCGACGCGCCGCCACAAGGGTTAGGTCGGGCATGTCCCCCTACAGGCGGATTTGAGCAAAGAATTAAAACTCATCAAGAACATGTTTTTTAAATAAAAAAAACGTCCCCAGACTATTGTTTGACTATTTCTGAATACTCACTATTTTTGACTATTCTTGAATGCTCCTCCTGTAGAGGGACACGCCCGACTCAACACAAGGGACGCCAAAGGAGGAGCGGAGGGGCTCTTCCGACCACGGGCGAGCCTCGGGCACGAACGGGTCCCCCGGCCCAGGTCTCCAAGGAACGGCCCCAAGAGCCCGAGCCCCTCCTGAGCCCCAAAGCGTTCCTCGCTTTGGCACCTCGACTGTGGGTGGCGACAGGGCTGAGCCTAAACGGTGTTGTTCGTTGTCGTTTTGTATTCGTTTTCCCTCGCTTTTGTCTCGAATCCGCCTTTACCGCAAAACGAAGTCGAAACGAAAACGGCCCACGAAACCGCCAAAATCACCGTTTAGGTCCAGCCCTGGGTGGCGACTTCCGAGCCCTGCCCCAACCAAGCATCCATTCTCCTGAATCGAGGGGAGGCGGGGGTGGAATTCGGACATTGCGCCAGGTGTTCGACGAGTTGTCCGAGCCCTACCCGCCGCCCATCGAGTGACCTGAATCGTGGATCGGCGGGGGTGGGGTTCGGACTTCGCCGCCGAGTCCTGGAAGCACTTCATGGCGCCGCCGCAGGTAGCAGCCGCGTAGTTCGGGTAGCAAGTGAGCGTGGTCGTCTCGGTGGTGGCGTTCGCGGCGCCGTGCTGGGCCACGTCGGCCCTGCGCGCCGCCGAGCTCTGCAGCAGCGCGGAGGCCTCGGCCTCGTCGGCCTGGCACGTGCCGTCGGCGGCGCAACCCTCGTCCGCCCGCGCGCGCACGGACAGCATCACCGCGAGGGCCAGAGCGAGGCGAGCCATGCTTCCAGTGGGCTCGCTGCCCGATGCTTTAGTGACTCCAATCGCTGTGCGACCGCCCTGAACCGAACTTGAGCCGATCTTGGGCTCGGGCGATCTGCAAAATATTGCTGGTACCGTGGTGTCTTGCCACGCTCCCTAAGACAAACTACTGAGCACCCGCCCCGCACGTTCCCTCCCCTCAACTTAGACGCGGTTGGGGGGTCAGAGCTGAATGGGCCCGAGGAGCGTCGGTCAAGAGGATGGACGAGGGCGAATCGGGAATCTGGACCTGGACCCCTTCCGGGGTCGAAACTGACCAGCTTTTCGAACCGCGTGCAGCCGTGGATGTCAAGGAATGAGCTCCAAAAGGGTCCGCCCCGAAGACACTCAGCCAGTCCGTGCAGGGCATACCGCAGTCTGCCCGCGTGGTAGGCGGTGACCAGCCGGATCGGCTCGCAGCCCAGACTCTCTTTTAGCCGCAACGACCCCAATCTCCCCAGACCCTGAAGCGCTGGGCAGACTGGGCAGTCGGAGACGGCGGGAACAGGGCCCCAGGGAGAAAGGCACCGGGGACCAGCTTCCGTTCAGCCCCTGCCGTTGCTCTTCCGCCCTGCAGTTGACCGGTTCGAGTCTGGCAGACCTGTCGACAACAGCGACAGCCCGATCCAGCCAACCCGGCCGGGGAGGGGGGGGCGAAGGCTACCGAGGACTGCACGAGGTCCCCACCCAGACTGCAACGACCCCAGAGGTCGGGACCAGATGGCCCACAAGGGCTCGCACCTCGGAGGTCGAGGTGGCTCAGCCTGTGGCTCCGAAAGAGGCAAAGATCACTGCGCACATCGGGAGGGGGAAGTTCGAAGGGAGAACTCGGCAAGAAGCAGAAAATATACGGCCAACGCAAAAACACGCCAAAAACTCCACGCAGAAACGCAAGGGGGAATTGCAAGCCGAACGACAGTTCGATAGATGAGCTCATTCCCTCTTTTGGCCATGCGGCTCCTAGTCCAACACCTGTAGCAGCAGGGGCACTTTGCGGAACGCTCCTGCTCTCGGCCAATGGGCCACGCATGTGGGGGGAACCGTAAGGCACCGATACCGCTACTCCCTGGAACTCTCCCGGGGTATGTTCTGACCAGAATTTCGAGGCGAATCCAGCGGTTGCGACGAGGGCCTCCGAGGAGGCCTCCAGGGTAGAGAGTACCTTTTCCTTCTCTGAGCATGCTCCCCCTGCCCCGCGCCCACCACGGCGGGTGCTCTCCTAGGGTGCAAACCGTGCAGCCATCGCGCTACCAGAATGACCGAAGCATGCTACGGAACGAATGGACTCATGTGGCCACGGGCAGCCTCGGTCACGCACAGGCTCCCCCGCCCAGATCGAAGAAACAGCCGAAAAGCAAGGCCCCTCCTGAAGCCTGTTTTCCACCACCACCAACACCACCACCATAATTTGGAGGGGGAGGGGGTCATCCTCCTCCTCCTCCTCCTCGTCCGCCACCTCCCTCCCCCCTCCAACTTATGGTCGTCAGCTCAAGTCATCATTCTCTCCACATCCTCCTCAGCCACTCATTGACACCATCCTCTCATCCGAATCATGATCAGCAATTAAATCAGCAGCATCGCTAGTATCAGCATCATAATCAGAAACACCGCACTCACGATATAGACCATCCTCCTCCTCATCATCAGCATCACGACCATGACCATCACCATCACCATGACCAACACCATAACTATCAACATTACCATTATCACCATCACCACACTCACCATCATCACCCTTACCACCACATTCATCACCATTATCACCAGTACCGTCACCATGACCAGCATCATCAGCATCACAATCAGCATCAACATCATCATCACTATCACCATCACCATCACCGTCATCATCATAATCAGCATCACCACCATCAACAGCAGGATGACCATCAGCATCATCATCATCATCATCATCATCATCATCATCATCATCATCATCATCACCACAACATCATCATCACAATCATCAGCATCAACATTATCATTATCACCATCATCATCATCAGCATCATCATCAGCATCATCATCATCATCATCATCATCACCATCATCATCATCATCAGCATCATCATCATCAGCAGCAGCATCAGCATCAGCATCATCATCATCATCAGCAGCAGCATCATCATCATCATCATCATCATCATCATCATCATCATCATCATCATCATCATCATCATCATCATCATCATCATCATCGTCAACGTCACCGTCACCATCGTCATCGTCTCTGTATCATCATAAGCATCATCATTATCATGAGCATCATCACCATCATCATCAGCATTATCACCATCATAAAGCTGTGACTCATCATCACCAGCAGCAGCATCATCGTCATCATCAGCATCATCAGTATCATCATCAGCAGCATCATCGTCATCATCACCGTATCTTCATCTACGTCATCATCGTCATCATCGTCATCGATTCGAGCACCTGCCACCGAGATTGCTGGGCTGGCACGGTGGCAGGACTCGCCGAAGGCAGCTGGATGTACTCCAATATTGCTCAATCTGGCCTCCAACGTGCCCCCAAAACGCCCACAAACGGCCACAACACGCCTTCGAAAGGCCACGGAGCCTCCTACGGAAAGGGCCCCCAAGAGCGCCCCGAGAGCTTCCCAAGAGCGCCCCAAATGTACAATTGCTGGCTTGGGAAGACAAGGCCGTTGAAAAGCAACGATCCTCCCCCTCCTCCTCCGTCGGCCCTCCCCCCCCCGTTGGATTGGAGTTGTAATCCAGACGGCGAGATGGAATCTTAGCCTGCAGCAACCTGGAGCACCTCGAAGCCGGTGTTTCAAACCCTTCAGACGCTTGGCCTGCAGGCACGCGCTGCAAAAACAGCATCCTCCCCCCCGTCCCCTGTGGGCCTTCCAAGCATGGTCCGAGCAGATGAAGTCGTAATGGCTCCCAACTTCGCGCTTCGCGCTGCGCGAAGCGCGAAGTGCGAATAACTTCGCGCTCTCGCGCCGCCTCCCAAGGGAGAAGAGGAGGATGAGGAGGAATCGGAGCCGAACCGCGAAGCGCGAAGCGCGAATAACTTCGCGCCCTCGAGGGCGCCCTTGAAGTCGGAGGATCGCGCCGCATCGCCCATCCATCGGCGACGTCGCCGATGCATCGGCGCCGACGACGTGGTGAGCACCGGGCTCCATCTCAAGCCACATCGCCGATGCATTGCCGATGCGGCACGGCACGGTCCCTGGACCCCAGCTTGGAAGCGGCGGGGCTGCTGCATGCGCTGGATGGGCCCCGAAGGCACTGGCCGAAGGGGGAGACGAGGGCAAATCCGCGCAGGATCTGTCCTCGAGCCCTTCCCAGCGTCGAAACTCGCTGCTTTTTCGAGCCGCGTCCAGCCTTTGCGACGAGAGCGTCTTCTTCTAACCCCCCTTCTGCTCGCTGGACCAGTGCTGAGCTACCTCAACCCCCCAGCCGGTACAAGATCCGAGGACGCGGAAAGATGCGGCACTGCAACGACCAGAGCCCAAGACCCCATCTTTCTGCGGCATTCGCTCGCGTCAGATCCCCAGACAAGAGGCTGCTCCAATTTTCGTCCATGCGTGGGCCCTGGAGGTCTGGACCATTGCCCGAAGGCCATCTTCGTCCTCAGTCGTTTTTCGACGCTCCCGAAGCCCGGCGATGGCCCCAAGAGGCCGGACACGGGCAAAAACCACCCGCCCCAATTTTTGCTGGAGCGTCGGAAATCTCCGGGTCGACCTGTGAGGCGCCCCGGGGCCCGAGGCCTGACAGATCGCGCGCAGATCGCCCCCCCCTCGGCCCCCCCCGAGCCAGCTCCCAGCCCACGACTATGCCCCCCGCCTTCTCTCAGGGTCGCCCTGCTCCTGCAGGTCCCCTCATAGGGGAGCGACAAAGTGCAAGAAACATAAAACTCGGAGATCGGCGCTGGACCCCCCCCCCCCCTGGCGCACGCACGGAGCGCGCCAGGGGCGGCGCCGGAGGCGCCGCCAGGGGGCCCCAGCGCCGATCCGAGAAATCCGCGCGGACCTCCGAGTTCGATGTTTCTGGCACTTTTTCGCTCCCCTAGAAGGGGACCTGCAGGAGCAGGGCGACCCTGAGAGAAGGCGCGGGGCTATAGTCGTGGTCTGGGAGCTGGCTCGGGGGGGGGGGCCGAGGGGGGCGATCTAGGCGCGATCTTTAGGTCGGGCCTGTCCCCCCACAAGCGGATTTCTGATGAAAAGTGAGATTAAAAAGTAGCCTCAAAAAAAACAAAAATCGTCCCCAGACTATGTTTGACGACTCTTGAAGAGTATTCCTGTAGAGTGACTGGCCCGACTTAATGCGATCTGCCGTTTTCCGATCCCCTACCTAGGTACGGCAGGTTCGTGTCGTGCCGACCCCAGCGTTGGTTTTTGACACCGCAGGGATCGTTCAACCTTGAACGATCGGCCGCTGCCGCAACGTCCGATCGTTCAACGTCGATCGATTCTGGGTCGCCGGCGGCGTTCAACCTTGAACGCCCGCGCTGGGGTCGCCGCGGGTCGACACGACGCAAACCTACCGTAACGATACGGGCGCGTTCACGCCTTTCCACGGCTGCCTGGGAGGCCTGCCGCCCTCCCCCCGACCCCTGGGCGGAGGCCCCCTACAGGCGGATCCTGGAGGACAAACAAACAAGATTCAGAACATCATCGAACACAGCTGCTGTTTACAAGAGATAGAAGCGGCGTCCCCAGACTATGCTTTGGCGATGTATTATGAACACTCCTCCCGTAGGAGGACCTGCCCGACTTAAGCCTTGCCACAGCTGCCTGGGAGGCCTGCCGCCTCCTCCTCCTCCTCCTCCTCCTCCTCCTCCTCCTCCTCCTCCTCCTCCTCCTCCCCTCCTCCTCCCCCCTCCTCCATCTCCTCCCCCCTCCTCCCCCCCCACCCCCCCTGGGCGGAGGCCTCGGCCTCGGCTGCCGCTCGCGGTCGTGCGCCGCATGGCCCCCGCGTGCCCTGGGGCGGGGGCTCGCCCGGTCC